AGGCAGCACCTGTGTCACCGGGTCCCCACCGCTCCCCGTGTCCCCAGCCCCACCGGTGACAGGCCGAGTGGTCCTGGGGGCAGCGGTGGTTGGGGTCACTCCATCCCTCGGTTCCGCTCACTCGTTCCCGGCCCCGGTGGGTTTTGCACTGGCATCTGCCAGGGCGAGCAGGGACCCAAGTGTCTTTTTGAGCCCGGAACGCTGGGTTTCTGGTGAAATCCTGCAGCAGTGTTGCCGTGACGACCCTCCTGCAGTTTCCATCCAGAGATGTTTTCCTTTGTTGTGACAGGGACGCGGGGAGGCAGCCGCCGGCGATTGGGGTGCGTGGCGGTGATGGCGAGGGGTTCACACCACGACGGGCAGGGACCCACCGCTGCCCCCGGGGAGACCCGGTGGGTCTCCGGCACTGGCGTGGGGTTGGGGGGAATCCGCACGGCTTCAGCGTAACCCTGGCTTGGCCTCGGCCACCCAGGGGACAGCAGGGGGGCCAGGAGCCACACGTGACGTGAGTTTGATAGGTCTCAGCCAGGTCTCGCTCCCATCGAGACCCAGAACAGAGAGGTGATGTGGCCAACCCACAGCGTGGGGACACTGTAGAGTCCCAAACGGGATGGAGGCGTTGGGTCTGCGAAAGCAGGTGGCGAAGCGCCCTCGTCACCCCGATGACAGAGCCAGTTTGGGGGGGGTGTTGAGGCCAGGAGCCTCCCGAGCTCCAGCGCTGCCTCGTTTGGCAGCCGGGGCCACGGCGCCGTGACCGGGGTGCTGAGCAGCATCGCCACCGCCATCCCGTGGGTGCTGAGCACCAGGGAACTGGGGTGCCAGGCACCCTCCCTGCGCGGCGAGGGGCCCCGCAGTTCCCCACAGCCGGAGCGCAGCCGCGTGCCCCGGTCCCCGCATCGCCGGGGGTGCGCGGGGGGACCCCGTCCCGCGCCCCGCGGAGCCGCTTGTTATTCCGCTCAGGTCCGCCGGCGGCTAATGAAGCCCGTTCCAGGAGAGCTGCCACATTCATCGGGAGAGCGGCTTAGTAATGAGGCCTCTGCCACCGCAGCTGGGGCCAGCGCTCGGGGCACTGGCACGGGGACAGACAGCGGGCGGGAGGGCGGACGGACGGACAGACGGCTCCGTGGCAGGGCGAACCAGCAGCTGGTGCCTGTGTTGGCTGAGAAGTTGGTCCAAAGCTGGCACTGGAGCAGGGCAGGACTCCTCGACTCGGGGTCTGCTCCGGAGGGGACAGGCTGAGACCTGGCACCACGGACCCGCTTCCGTGCTGCCCCTGACCCCTCGCCCGCTGCTCCTCGCCCCAGCTGCAGTTTGTTTCTGCTTTCGGCCAGGGCCAAACCCGCCTCGTGGCACAATCTGGACATGGTGGTAAGGGCACCCCATCCCGGGCTGGGGTCTGCAGCATCCCTCTGGGGACAGAGGGACCCTGCCCTGGCCAGGCCCAACTTCCCTCCAAACCCGCTGGCAGGATGCATTGATTTTATTTTCTGTTTCCATGGCAACTGCCTCCTTCCCTTCCCCCTTCTGGCAGCCGGACCCGCTCTTTTGCCCTCCCGCAGCACCCAGCCCCGCCAGCACCCACCGTCCACCACGGACACGGGGGACACAAGCTGTGACCCAACATGGTCCCCTCCTCCAGGGACTCTCCGGGGTGGCAATGCCACCAGCTCAGCATCCGCAAGCAGGACCCAACCCTGCACCCCGGTGCCCACCGCGACGCCCATGGGTGATTTTGGGGGAGCTGCCGGCAGGGCTGGCATGGGTCTGGGAGCAGGTGCAGGGGACACCAGCCCCAGTCAGCCCCTCTCTGACACCAGCAATAATTAGCAGCAGGGCCAGCAGGACGCCGCACTGGTTCATTAGCCAGGGCGGTAATTCCCCCCGGCACTGCCAGCGCGGGGACGCCGAGCAGCATCCCCCGTTAGCAGAGCCAAGCTCATTAACAGCACATCCTACCCCCACACCTGCTCATGGCTGATGTGCCGCCTCTCCGGCACCCCCTGCACGGTGGCACCAGTGGAGAGGACACCGGCACTGCAGTGATCCGGTCACAAGCCTGGTGCCCTCACCCCTTTGGGAGTAAATGCCAGTTTGTGGCTTAAAAGCAGGGCTATAATAAGATAATTATAATTATATCCTTTTATCCATCCCCTTCCAAAGGGACGCACCCGTCGCTGCCCTGCACATCTCCTTCCCAGCGCGGAGATGCCACCACATTGTTATTTAGCATTAATTACCAGCTGTGCCAAATCCTGCCCTTCCAGGTCCCCCTGGCCCCCCCGGGACCCCCAGCCCCTCTGCACAGACAGGGGGAATAAAGGCAGAGGCACAGCCCGGAGAACAGGCAGGGCCCTGTGCCAGGCAGAGAGGCCGCGGCGTTGAATAACGCCTGTGCCGCGTTCACCGGTAATCTCCAGTGTTTACACGGAAGTGGAAATCAATCGCCACAAATAATTAACGGCGAAGGGCACAACACCCGCTTCTTCTTCGGAAGCGGCTCCCAGCGCCAGCCAGGGTTGCTCAGCAAAACTCACACGCCGGCACCCGCCGCACAAAAGGCGACGGCACCCGTTTCCTGCACCGCCGGCACGAGGTGGCCACGCCGGCACAGGGCCAGCATCCCGGCGACTCGCGGGTGGGAGCTCACGCCCGGTGGGAGCGGGGGGTCTGGATCTCTGCCGGCGCCTGGTTTGGCACCAGCCTTTCTATTAGCTCTTGGATAAAATGCAAAGGCCCCCCCGGCGGGCGGCTGAGTGCCGGGGCTGGATGGCAGCCGGGAGCCAACGCCGACGCCAAGCTGCTCCCGGCGCAGCCCGGGGCGAAACAGCTGCATTTACCACCCGCTTCGTTCCTCGAGAGCGAGGAAGATGCTGAGGCTGAAGAGCCCCCGGGCCGGAGTGCTGTCCCCCCGGTTGCCCCCAAACAGGCAGGGCTGGAGGGGCCAGGGGGTCACCGGGGTGAGGGGGGACGGTGCCGGCAGGCGCGGGCAGGAGGTGATGCGGCGGCGGTGGCACAAATGGCAGACCCATCCCTGATGCGTGATGAGCCGAGGGGCAATTAAGGCTCCTGCGGTTTTTGACCCAATTTCTTAGGCGAAACTCGGTGGGGGGGGAGAAGGGGAGGAAGGAGGAGGAAGACGGAGCACGTCACGTGTGTACTAGTGTGTGTCACCGCATGTGCGTGCGTGCACGGGCGCACACGTGTGTGCTCTGCGACACGCGTGTGCCAGCACGTGCAAGCGTGTGCACAGCCCCAGCCGGGGGCCGAGCCCCCAGAGCCGCGCTGCGAGGGGGAGGTGACGGCTTTGCAGCACTCGGCTGGTTTTATTTTTGCTTGCGGCTGAGCGCAGGCAGCCTCGGCGCGGCTGCCGTGACTCATGCAGGCAGCCCAGCACCCGGGGAGGTTTGGGAGGGCTGCAGAGCACCGCTGTGCCGTCGCCTTGCGTTGCCTCCACCAGCAAGGCGGCGACGGGGGCCGTGGGACCACCGTAGGGTCAAGGCTTGGCAACCTCGCCGAGCACCGGGGCACGTCCGCAAAGACCTGGGGCTGTGGGCAAGCATAGCGGTACCATATGCTGCGAAGGATAATTTTAAGCAGCTGCCGTGTTATATGTGTGCGTGTGTGTATGTGGGGGGGTGATTTCTCCCCACACGGCTGCTCCGGGCTCCCTGTGGCTCCCTCGCAGGCTGGGGGGGCAGCTCAGCCCTGCCTGGCCGGGGGTGCCCACGGGAGAGCCGGCCCTGCCGCGCTGGCCGAGAGGCAGCAGGGAGGGCTTGGATTTCCCTGTGCTTTGTGCTGGTGACTTGCATCCAGGGGGATGCTGGGGTGCGCAGGGATGCTGGAACATGCAGGGATGACCGAGCGTGCAGGGATGCTCTAACACAGGGGTGCTCCAGTGCAGGCATGCCCGAGCATGGGGGGGTGCTGGAGCATGGGGGGGTGCTGGAGCATGCAGGGATGCTGGAGCACGCAGGGATGTTAGGATGTGCGGGATGCTGGAGCAGGCGGGAATGCTGGGATGTGCAGGATGCTGGAGCATGCAGGGATGGTAGAGCATGCAGGGCTGCTGGGATGTGCAGGATGCTGGGATGTGCGGGGTGCTGGGATGTGCAGGATGCTGGAACACGCAGGAATGCTGGGATGTGCGGGATGCTGGGATGTGCGGGATGCTGGGATGTGCGAGATGCTGGAGCACGCAGGGATGCTGGGATGTGCGGGATGCCGGGCCGTGCAAGGATTCCTGCACACCCGCGCTCCCTCCCTGCAGTCTCTCTCCGCCGCTATTTTCAGCAGCGCTCCACCAGTGCCACCTACAGAGCTGGCCCAGGAGGGCACCCAGCCGCCCCCAGCCCAGAGCCCGGCGGGCCCCCCCCTCACTTTGGAGCCGGGGTGTGTGTGTGGGGGTGTACCCTGTACCCCCGTCCCCAGAGCCGTGCAGGGGCCCGGGGGGACGCTG